CTGAATTTTTCCATGGCTGTACAGATAGCTATACTTAATATCTACAAATATAAAATAGTTTTTGAGTCACACATGCAAGAAAGGGCTTATGTCCATATTTTTGGCTAGACACATTGTATTAGTTTCCAAGGCTGTCGTAACAAAGTACCAAAGGCAGGTGGGTTAAAACAATAGAAATTAATTTTCTCACAGTTCTGGAGGCTAGAAGTCCAAAATCAAGGTGTTTTAGGGCTCTTCTCCTTCTCAACGGCTCTAGGGAAGAATCCTTCTTTGCCTCTTCCAGGTTCTGGTGGTTGCCATCAATCCTTGGCATTCCTTAGCTGTGGTAGCATAACTCCAGTCCCCATCTCTGCAGGGCCATGTTCCCACTGTGTGTCATTGTGCGTCCTCTCCTCTTCTAATAAGGACACCATTTAGATTGAAATTAGGACCAACCCTACTTCAGTATCACCTCATGTTTAATTACATCTGCAAGGACCCTATTTTCAAATATGGTCATCTTCTGAGGTTCCAGAAGGACTTCAGTTTTAAGGGGGACGCTATTCAACCCAGTATACACACTTTTCAGGATTTTATATTATTCCATTCTGTGAGTATTCCATAATTGAACAGTTTCTAGATTTTTTACTATTATAAAAAAAAGACTTGGGACATTCATATACACACACTTTTATATACATACACTATTATTTCTGTAAGATAGATTCTCGGAAGTAGAATAGCTGGGTCAAAGATCAGTCACATTTTACATTTTAATAAATACTAACAAATTATCTATGTAAACTTACACCGATGTGTAACTTTTATTAACAGCATATGTAGATCATCAACACTGGATATTGCCGTTGTTTTGCCAGTCAAGAAACTGAAAAGTGGTATCTCACTTTAAGTCACCTTTTAGTGGAGTTGGATGTCTTTTCATGTGTTTCTTTTAGGCCATTTGTGTTTATTTTTCGTGAATTACTTGTTCATATTATCTACACAGAGAGAGCAAAGCAATGCCCTTTCCCTCTAGTCCTGCCCTCCTCATGTGTGGCACAAAGAGAGGCTCGAGCTCTCCAGTGACCCATGAGCAGTCAGAGGTGAGGGTCCTCAGGTCCACAGTCTGCCCAGTGTCTGTCACATGAGGCTCTTTCTCTGACTCTATCTGTGCCCTGAGGGGAGTATCCGCTGTAGATTTTAAGCCGTGACCATACTTCGTGATTCATTTGCATTACCCCAGCATGCCTTCTGGCACTTAAGTATTTCCCAGAGTTAATTTGTCAGGGGGCGGGTTGTTGCCTGTTGCCATTCTCACACATTTTCTCTTCTAGATGAACTTTAGAATGCCGTGGTCACAACCCCACCCCATCTGCACCTTCACCAGTAAGAGACTCTGATGGGATACTATCCAAGTTGTATTAAGGTTCATATATGTATTTTTTGAGTAGACTTGACATCTTTATGATATTTAGTCTTCCCATCGAGGATCATGGTATGATATATTTATTTAGGTCTTATTTTATATCCTTCAGTAAAATTTTCTAGTTTTACCTTTCTTGTTAAATTTATTGCCAGTTTTTATCAATGAGATCATTTTCCATTTCCATTTTTAAATGATTATGGTCAGCACTGTAAGAACACTATTGATGTTTACATGTCTACAGATCTCTATCTTGTGTTCTGCCACCTTGTTAAATTATGTTATTGTTTTCTTTTCCTTTCTTGACTTTCTTTGGGTTTTCTTCCTCCACCTGCTTTTCACATATCTCTACCTGTTAATCCCAAGAATATCTAAAGCTCAGAATAAAACTAAAATAAGTTACAGTTAAAATAATCTCTTGATACCCTTAGGTTCAGAACTGCCTGCTACTAGCCCATGAAGCACCTCTGTATAAATTAGAAGAATTTCTCCTGACACTTTACTCTTATCTCCTGGGAAGATTGTCATAATTAATTGATTCATTTGGAATATGACACATTACTACAGAAAAATGTGATGATAAGTATATGCAGCTCTCCAGTGTCTCCCTTAGATGAGGAGCTCTTGTGCCATCTAAGCCTGCACAGACATTCTCCATAGTGCTGCTTAGAGCCATAGATGTGTTATCACTGCCTCCAGAATCACCCCTTTCTTCCCAAGCCCACTACCTCAGTTAAGACTCTCGTTATAGGGACTTCCCTGGCAGTCCAGTGGTTTAGACTCCGTGCTTCCAGTGCAGGGGTGTGTGGGTTCAATCCCTGATTGGGGAACTAAGATCCCACATGCTGCACATTGCGGCCAAAAAAAAAATTTTTTTTTAAAAGAAAAAAGACTCTCGTATTTCACCTCTCATCACAGTACAACCCCTCCCTCCCCCAAAAAAGGACAAAAACAAAGTATAACCGGGTCTTCCTCTTCCCAGCCTCTCTCTTCCAGGACACCCTAGTCACAATCCAGAATAACCTTCCTAGAAGGAAGCCCTAGAAGTCCTCATCACGGTCTTCCTCAGCAGCCTCTCTCCTCTTATCCCCGCCCCACCGCATCCCCTGTGCTCTTCCCACTGCACCCAGGTGCCTCGGTAATTCCTCTTGCCTCTCAGTCTCAGTCTGCTCATCTGTAAAATGAGAATAGCGGTGCCTCCTCAGTAATTATGTGGTAAAGAGTAAACGATATATTACCTGCAGAAATGACTCGTATTGGGCTTGGCGCTGAGCACGTTAGTTTTCTTTCCGCTTCCTACCCCCTCCCTCACAAGTACTTTGGAAATGGAAATGCTGTATAATTGTAACATGTTGTTATGATTATTTATGCCTCATTGTATGTCCATTACCCAGAGTTCTTGTATTTTGGCAAGAATTCATCATATTTGACCTCTAATAAGGAACATTTGAAAATATTCCAGAAGGGGAAAAAAAAACTTTAATTGCAGCCTGAGTATGCCACTGGAAAAAAAAAGCATACTGCAGCCTCAGTGTGCCACTGAAACAAGTTCCACGAAAGGGTTTTCTGCTGCCCCTGGAGGCTCATGGTGAACACTGTGTGTGCCAAGGTGTGCGTAGTCCCCTGGATGAGAAGAGTGGGTGGCAACTGCCTCAGGGAAACACAGGTTCTGTCTGCAGGAGATGGAGGATGCTCAGGAGACCTGCTGAGAACAAACACAGCCCTCCCCCCGATGAGGATTTCTTATACTGCACGACTGCTGCCTTCTGCTGACTACAGAAAATGTTTTGTGGTTAAGAGTCGGTTTCCACATGTGTTTATTGGTTTAAAGAACTGACTTGGTTTCGGCCACATTTGGTTGTCTGTCGTCTTTTGTTGTAGGCTCTCTCCTGATTGGGTTTCCATTGGGTTTTAATCAGAAACCATGTGGTGAAACATTTTGGATTCAAATTAGAGTTTATCAGAAACATCTATCTCAATTCTCTAGCATATTTTTTTTACATGAAATGTTCTCTGTTAACTATAGCAGATTCAAGAAAACTGAGATGTTGGGATTCTGGGCAGTCAACAATGGCCACTCAAAAGACCTGCTATGTTACATTAGCCTCCCAGCATGTATGCTTCAAATACTAAAATTAAAGTGCTATATGGTTACGTTGTATCTGGTCCCTTAGAATTAGTTGTGAATAAAGTCAATCACAAACTCAATTATATGTAATGATTTAATATAAAGCAATTTAACATTAAATATCTCAGTTCTTTTACTACTAATCAAATGAGTAAAAATATGAACATTTAAATGAACTAAAGGGAGATGGTGATTTGTTAGTTGAGGTATTTGAAAAGCCCCACTTGTTTGAAACACATGTGAACAGTTACAACTCTTTCTTGACCAATACAGTACTGTCTACTATACGTTAACTTTTATGTGTGACTCAGAACAGGAAGTTGTTGGTTAGAAAGCTACTACTTGTCTCTCTAAATCCCTTCTGTAAGCAATAAAGTAGCAGTGATATATGATAAAACTAGCATAGTAAAATGTTAATGGTAGAACCTAGGTAGTGGATATACTGATATCTACTGCAAAATTCTTTCAACTTTACTGTATTCTGGAAATCTTTCATAATAAAATATTGGGGGAAAATTCATCTTAAAAAAAAAAGGAAAGAAACATCTATCTCAGAGAACACAGGTGAAACCCAGAACGGAACAGAAAGCAAACAAGAAATAATGTAATAATAATATGAACAGAATAGTCTCAGAGGGAAGGAACACAGAGAAACTGAGAAGAGCTGCATAGAAACAGAGCCAACCCCTCACAGAAGGACCAGAGAAAGGTGTGGGGAGCCAGCAAGCTGTCACATCAGGGTCTGGGTGGGGCATTCTTCTAGTTCTGACCAACCTGCAGTCCTTGGGGCTAGAAACCATGATTAGTAGCCCCTACCCACCCTGAGCTCGGACAGAGTGCTTAACGGGCAGATGCAGTTCACTACTCCAAAGATGGGCCCCTGAAAAGTCCTGTCTCTCCTTTCCATCCCTACTGTCTGTGCCCTTTTCTCAGTTTTCCTTCCCAGAGCTGTCCTGGCCTCCACTTGTACTTGTGAACCCAGGGCCTAGGGTGTCAGAGAAGACATGCATGCAGAGGGGCTCATCACTGACGATGGGACCACCCTTCCTGCCTGCCCCTCCCCCATGTGCTGTAGCCGGGTCAGACCTATGGGTTGCAGGTTAGAAAACGGTGGAAGAACTGCATCTCCAACCCCATGTCTCCAAATATAGCTCCTCAAACTGTTCGACTTCAGTTGTTGATTTGACTTAGGAGATACTTGTATGTGTTAAAAAATATTTTCCACAAAGCCTAGAAGAGTATACAGAGAAAAGTACCTCTCCTTTCCACCTCTGGCCCCTAAGCCCTCTGTTCCCTTCTCTGGGGTTAATGTATTTGATATGTACCTTTTTTTTGATATGTACCTTTTCAGAGGTCACAGTGATAACACTGTTAGCTTTTAAAATTATTCTTATGTCTTTCTGCTTCCATTGCTGTGGCGACTAGATTTACCAGCTCTATCTGCTTTCTCCATATCTCATCCTCTCTCAGACTTTGACCCCTGGTGGACCAATGAGTGTGAGCAGAATGAGTCGGACCCCATCCCTGCCAACTGCACCGGCTGTGCCCAGAAATTACCCCTCAAGGTGATGCTCCTGGAAGACACCCCAAGGAAATTTGAGAGACTCCATCCTCTGGTGATCAAGGTGAGCAAGAAGGCAGATTCTCCCACTGATCGATTACCCATTTCATGGCTAGGAAACATCAAGCGCTGTGACATTCGTGATTAGTAATTCCGTGTTGTCTTGTTGCACTTTTGTTTTCTGCCTTGCCAAGACCGGACAACCCCTGTCATCTGAGGGGCTTCAGCGCTTTTTGTGCCAGTACCCTGAGGTTGCAGAAGGCTTCACCGAAGGGTTTTTCACCAAGTGGTGGCGCTGCTTTCCTGAACGGTGGTTCCCGTTTCCTTACCCATGGTGAGTGTGGAAAGGGCCGCTCAGCGTGCATGTGTGCAGAGAGGGGGCAGACCAAATGTCAGAATATGGATATTCTGGATATGGATAATTACTATGGATAATTACTGCCAAGACGCTGCTATGCCCAGCACTGTGCAAGCACTTTACAATATACTCTTCAAGTCAAATGATACTCAGGGGTGCACTGTTGCAAACTTGATGAGAGAAAGTGGGTGAGTCCAAAGAGGTGTGTCAAGAGGGGCACCACTGTGGTGGACACCGAGATTGCCTGATAGACTCATAATTTACTTCTAAGTATGTGTTTAGCATTTGTGTTCATGCTGAGTGGGTCCTGAGCATTGAGGACTGCAGAGAGAGCACAAAGAATAAAAGGGAAAGTTATTTCTTGGCAGCCAGGCTGTGTGCCTTGGTACTGAGTATCTGTTACTCATTGGTGATGCTCATAATAGCTCTGGGAAGTAGGAATTATCACTGTCATTTTTCAGATCAGAAAAGTGGGAATCAGGTTAAGTACCTTGCTTAAGGTCACCCAGCCAGAATTGAGACCCAGGTCTATCTCCTTGTTCCTTGCTGTGTCCTATAGAAGACATGGTCTGTTTCTTCAGGTGAAGTTGTTTTCTAGAAGAAAAGGAAGGCCAGTTCACTTCTAGAACCATTCCAAAGAGAATTAAAACTGCTTTTTCAGGCCTTTTGTTGGATGATTTCTGTGCTTCTGCCTTTCTTTAAATGCCGTTTATTTACATGATCAAATACTCGGTGTAACAAGCTGATACAGGCTTCCTCCCTCATGCTGCTCCACCTCAGAAGGTTCACGACTTTTGCTTCCTCCTCCTCCCTTCTTCTATCTTGCCCTGTCTGCTGTTACTTCAGTCTCTTTGCCAAGAGAGGATGAATGGAGTGTTTCTTTTCTCCCTCTATATGTTGTTTTAGCTGGATTTTATAAACACCCCACCCACACAGACAAATCACGGCAGTAGAGTTTGTGTGTGTGTGTACATTTTACTATTAATTGATTTGGCATGACTGTTCTTCATGGACCTAATACTTCAGATATTGTCCTGACATTTTTCCCTCTTCACCCACCGCCCACAGTTTTCCCACCCTTGCCGAGCTCTCTGTTAGTCACGGAGTTAGGCTGGCTTGCCCAGCTTAACTACATTTTTCTCTTTTACACATTTTACAGGAGAAGACCTCTGAACAGATCACACCTTTTACGTGAGCTTTTTCCTGTGTTCACCTACCTGCCGTTTCCAAAAGAAGCCTCCTTGAAAAAGTGCTTCTTTCTTCAACCAGAACCTATTGTGGGGAGTAAGGTAGGAAATTTTGAGAGGACTTGGCTCTAGAATTTTTCTCATTTGGTACCTGGGCTGATGTCATAAAGCCTTCCCTGTGTGTCAACTTAGGGGGTGAATTGAGGGGTCAGCCACATAATCTAAAGTTCTCTCCTCCTCCTGCTTGCCAACAGACCTGACTTTTTACTGAAGACACACTTACAGAAAGTCTGGTTACCTTGCAGATGTATTTCCTGCCCTTAACACCTGGGGGCAAGTTACTTTTCTATATTAAAGGAAGTAAAATCCTAAAATTTGAAGGGTCCTGAGCATCCCGTTAGTCTGACTTCCCTACCTCCAAGTAGAAAGCAGGCAGACTATGAATGAATAGTATGTAAATGAATAGTCCAGCTTACTCATTTTATAGAGAAGGAAACTGAGCCCCAGAGAGAGTGTCATTTGCCCAAGGACACAGCAAGTTAATAAGAGGTCTCTCCTCACCCTCCACTCCCAGGTTGGCTTTCCCCAGAAAAAAATGAGAAACTTCAGATAGAGAACTGGGAAAGCAAAAAGCTTGGGAGCATGGAGAGGTTTGGGAACAAAAGGGCTGACAAGCCTGTGCCTGAGGCAGGCAGCCCAGTGTGTGTGGTAGTGGTTCTCATCTCAGTCCGTGGCCAAGTACCCAGAGCCCACATTTACCGTCTCTGGGGCCAGCGGACTGGGCATAGCTGTTCTGTGTTTGTGTCTGTTTACTTTTCTCTGAATTGCTCTTTTTTTGAGTCTCATTCCTGAAGAAGGTTTTTCAGCCTGGATTGGTTTGGAATAATTAAAAGGATGAATTTTCCTTTATTAAAAAATTAAATTTGCTGAACTGTGACCCCTACCAACTCTGGGTTGTGTCTTTAACCTCCCGACACTATTGTTTGGCTCCAATTTGTTGAATCGTGTTAAAGGAATTTCAAAGCCTTTAAAAACAATCCTTCCATCTAGAAGTAAGAACTTCTGTCTGCCAGCTGTAGGGTGGAGGTGCTCGGCTGTTGCCTCAGATTTTAAAGAAGTTTATCCTGCTGTTTTCGGCTAGAACTCGGGGCCCTAGTATGATTTCATCTTCATAATTATGATATAATTCTGGGTGAGGGCCTTGATCTTCATCTTGGGTTTTCCCACTTGAACCTTAAGTTAATTTCACCAGTCTGCTTAACAGGGACACCAAGGAGCCCAGCCAAAGGGTTAAATACACAGACTGTCAGAGTCATCTTGTTGCAGTTCTCAAGGATGTTTTGGGAAGGGGAGTGGCCCAAATAGGCAAAAATCCTGAGAGTCTGATTTCTTAGAGCATCTGTTCCCCACCCTGGCCCAGGCTGTCCTTCCTCCACAGCTTTGTTACTCCGCCCTTGGTCCACATCCCTGTGCCCTGGACCCTGGTAAAGTCACATGTCTGTGGGCCCAGAATCCAAGAGGCAGCCTTGGGATAGAAGATAAGCAGTGGGGGCTGATTGTTGAGAGGCCCTGGGGGAAGGGGTGAGGGGCTCCAAGGCCCACTTTACCCACCCCACGGTGTTGCCTAGGGCTGGCCCACTCCATCCCGTTGTCAGTTCCTCGTCATCCTGAATGTGGAGGAACATGGTCCCACCCCCTCTCAGGCCTATATGAAACAGAGATACATCCGCTTATTTTTGTCTTCTGGGATTTTTTCAAGACTGCATATGTCAGGGCTTCTGCCAGTGTTACTACCAGTTAGTCACAGGCCAGCTCAAGACACTAGTCCTCCTTCTGTCACTATAGCAGCAGTTGAAATGGCTCTAGCGTTTCCATGGACACAGAGTCATGGCCAGGGCCTGGGGGAGCAACCAAGAGACCAGGGTTGGGAAGCAGGAGAAGATAGGGCCACATCCCAAGGCTCTAGAGGACCCAAGCGGTGAAGGAAAAACCAGGATGTGGCCCAGGGAGTCAGATTTCTTACCCCTGCTTTATAAGGGCATATAAAGAGCTTCCCTAGAGGGCAGGGGCTGGGAGGAGGGGGAACAGGGGAGGGAACGGGAGACGCTAGGGTTTTCTCTCACCATCTAGACAGGAAGAGAAGCCTGAGCAAGACCAACCTCTCCCTTTATCTCTACTCCCTGCCCCTCCCCAACCCCAGGGTTCACAGCTCTACCTGGTGCACAGCAGGTTGCACCTAATGCCTGTTGGTAGCAGTATTATGCCCTCAGGAGTGCAGTAGTTACCTGTGTAGGTGTATATCCTGTTATCTCCTTAGCTTTCAAAATCAGAGGCTGACCTTACTGTCATTAGTTTTTAATCAGTAGCAACATGTATCTGCTCACTTGAGTCTTGCCAAAAAGTATAAACTTGAACTTGCTGCTGTCAAAAGCCTAACAGTAAGTGATAATGTTCCATGGACCGTTGTCCGAAGGATATGCAAACTATCTATCTGGGTCAGACCAGACCCTCAGAAGATTGCCTATTTAGATCACCACGTGTTGGCCTTTGCTAGACTTTTGTTAAAATACAATTAGATATTTTGCCTTTGACCTACTTTGAAACTGTGGCTAGAAATAGTTGTGAATTATGAAGCTCATGCCGTTTCTGCTACAGGGCTGTCATTGAGGATGCTGCCCACAAAACTACACGATGTCTCTTTAGGAAAAACCATAGAAGAAATCTTACCCTGGTCTCAGTACCAGGAGATGCCATACTTAGGAGAAACTAGTTTGTTTTTGTCTTTTGGACGTAACTGTGAATTGTGTTCTTGGTACTGTTTTCCTCTTTGCTTAGGCTGCGAGGAAGCTCAGAGCCATATGTGTAAGAGTTTTTGTGTATTACTGTCCCGTGCTCCGGGGTTTTATTTTGTTTTCCTTTCCTTCCTTTTCTTCCCCCATGTCTTTTCCTCCAGATGCATAGGATGCATGACCTGTTTACCATTGGCAGCGGCGAGGCCATGTTGCAACTCATCCCTCCCTTCCAGTGCCGAAGACATTGCCAGTCCATGGCGATGCCACTAGAGCCAGGGGATATTGGTAGGTGGAGCCTCCGGCGGGCAAGGTCACTGGAGGGTCTTTTTACTTTTTAACTCAAAAAATATTCTAAAAATTAAATATTGCCTTCACAAAGATTCATTAAGTAGAGTCAAAAATAGCATTCTTTTATTAAAAAGGTCAATATTTATGCTTAGATGTAGTGAGAAAATGTAGCAGAGAGAAATGTCTTGTATGCACATTTAGAATGTATGTGTCCATTGGCTTTATTTATTTATTTTTTTAGCCACACCACGTGGCTTGTGGGATTTTAGTTCCCCGACCAGGGATCGAACCCAGTTCCTCAGCAGTGAGAGCATGGAGTCCTAACCACTGGACTGCCAGGGAATTCCCTCCATTGGCTTTAGAGATTTCAATTTAGAAAGAATTATTATGGGGAGTATTTAGAGTGATCCTTTATTTTACGGATAAGGAGATTGAGATCCAGGGAGGAGAGGTGACCACCTCAAGGCCCCACCATCAGTTAGGCAAAGCATCAGTGTTAAGTGACTCCTTTCACTGAGTCAGGCCAGAGGAGGTACAGTTCAGATTTGAGGAAAGCCTTTCTGTGCCTATTTTGCTAATAAAATGATGCAGGCAGGATGTAAGGGCAGCAGCCACCCAAGGAAATACTGCATTCCGTGTGTGTCCCACAGCCAGGTCACAGCCTCACAGTCATCACTCACCCTTGGCTCCATGATTTCCCAATGTGACTTGTTCTGTACCTGATATTCTAAAAATCCGTTCCAAAGAAACAGCCTTGAATCAACTGCTGTCAGTAGCTGTCAGTTTGACAGTGGAATTTCCTTGGCAGCAGCACATAAATCAGCAAGCATCACCATCATCCTCCTTGTTTTTCTTGCCTCACAAAACCTAGGGGAGCCCTGGAGTTCCTGGCAGAGCCCAGACTGGTTTTCCAGTTGATTTCTTTTAATTTTATCTATTCGGAAGACCCCAATCCCTAGAAACCTCTCATCTCATTCGGAGGTCGGATGCAGACTGCGAACTGCCAAACTTTAACCCAACCAAGTTACATAACTTTTATTTCCATTTAAAAATGAAAAAATAAAAATAATGCACAAATTAAGCATTAACCGATAATGGAGCACAGCTGGTCTGGCACTTGAGAATTACTGCGGAAAAGAGGATTCTTATGTGGAAATTATTCCAAAACTGTCTTCCTTTAGTGGAGTGACGCTGCACAAGTCTGTATGGCATTCTGGGTTTGGAGTGTGTAGTTGTGCTTGAAAAAGTTTCTGTCTTATGTTCTACAAACGCCTGACAGTTCAGACAACTACAGAAACACTTGAGTTATCCAAATTCCATGTTTTCGGCTCCCACAAGCATCCAGAATGCCAATTATAGAATTAGGGAAAAAGAAAAAAAGATGGGTGAGTGGCAGTGATTCAAGAAGCTTTGCGCCACAAAGCCTGCTGCGGCTGGTCCAGAACAGCTTAAAATCCAGAGCCTGATGCTTGTTGTGCTGTGACCGGCAGACTGCTGACCAGAGGGGAAGGAGCCCTGTGGTCGGCAGTGTCCATGAAGGCCAGCACATGACAGGAACGTCGAGAACTAATGGAGACCGACCAGAGCAAGGGGAAGCGGGCAAGTCAGGAGAAGAGTGGAGGTGGAGAGGGCGGAGGAGGACAGTGGACACTTGAAGCAGCGGCAGAAATAGAAGCAGTGGCCGCAGCTGCCACAGTGAAAAATGAGGGCAAGAAAGCAGACCCTGACAGTGGAGGAGACTAATTTAGTGGCTGCAGGACAGGTCGCAGCTCCTGCACCTAAGAGACCCTTAAGAATAGCACTGTGACAAGCAGGTTCTGTGTTTTTTGACAAAATAAGCATTATCCTGTGAAAGCGGAGGGGAAGGGGATCACCAGAAAACCTGTGACGGGTGGCGTTTTCAAGAATGACGTGGGTGTCAGTCAGGCATCAGAGGTTGATGCTGGTGAGCCCACACACCTGCCATGATGGTACAGTCACGGCTCGTAGTAACCTTTCTGGAGTCACCAAGTAGAGGGCACATCCGTTCAGCGCTGTCAGTTTAAAGATGGGTGGTATATATCATTCTCTAGAAATGTTTCCATCAGGAAGTTATTGAAGTGTTAAAATTGTGTAACTTTACCTTCCTAGCCTATTCCTGTCGCTCAAATGACATAGGTCAGTGTTTCCTAATCGATTCTTCGGATCACTCGTGACCCTAGGGGGCAAACAGGAGCCCCTTGGAAAGACCCTTGGCAAATAGGGCTCTTGAGTCATTGACTTTGGGAAATGCCTGTCTTGTTGAAACATAGTATACATTAGTGTACAAAAGGCTCTGAGAAGCCTTGGAGAAATCCAGTGTTTTTCAAACTTACTTGACCAGGGAACCCTTTTTCCTTGGACTGTTTTATGGGATGCTACTGTCTGCAGAATACAATTTAGGAAATACTGGTTTGGGTTAATCTGGAAGTTCTGTAATGAGACCATATTATGTATAACCTCAGGAGAATTGGATAGGGGGTCCTGGCGCCCCTCAGAACCCGTCTGTCTTCTTGCTGAAAAAAATGAGACCTGAGAATTGATGTCCCATATCAGCCTTATCTAGAGCATCCTGCTTTTGTAAACCTGCTGAATGGTGATTCACAATTACCCAGGTGAGGGCTGGTGATGAAGCACTTTGGTTCATAGTGGCTCCCATTGGCTGTCAGGTTACAGAGAGGACTGATAATAACTGGGGATACTTATGCCAGGAAGAGCTAAAAGACCTCCAGAGCAAGCATTGCCTCTGAGTCTGTAGGTGAATCTGAGGGCAGCTCTGGTGGACCTGCCTTGCTCGTGCCCACGGGTAGGCCTGACATTCACTTGCTTTCCTTGTTCGTGTCTCCCTTCAAGGCTATGCTGGCGCCACCCACTGGAAGGTTTACATTATAGCCAGAGGGGTCCAGCCTTTGGTCATTTGTGATGGAACCACCCTCTCAGAACTGTAGGAAACAGAACTAAAGGAACAGGTTTGAGAGCTGAAGACCGGATCGAAAGGGGGAAAATAAAAACAAAAAACGATGAAACCACTTTCCAGGGGTTGGTTGCTTAGTTGCCTGCCCTGTGCATGCGTGTGTGAGCCAGTTGTGTGCTGGAAGCAAAGGCCAGAGCCCAGCCCTCCCAACTCTTCCAGCCCAGTTGCTTGGCCAGGACCTTGCCAATACCCATCTGTGAGAGACTGGCCTCTTCCAGGCCTTTTGGCACCAAAGCCTTGAGGCTGCCCTTCAGGCAGGGAGCACGGTTGATACCTTCCCTCACTTGCATGACATGATCCCCTCTGCTGGCTCCCTGGCCACGAGAGGGCAGTCACCAGGTCCTGACTTTAGAGCCATCCTCTACCAGGTGGGCCTGCCTGTCCTCTCTTCCTGGTCACACCACCCTGTACTGTTTTTGGAAAGCCATGGATGATTAAAGAAGTCATTGCAGTTTCCCAAGCAGAATGGAATCTAGAACCGGTGAAAAAGGATCAAATAACCTCAAACTGCACTCAAGAAGTGCACTTCTTTCCCAGTGTCCATGGCTTTTGGAGTATCAGCGATGCCAGGTCGGAGTCTGATTGTAATTGAAATGGTAATTCCTAAGGTAATTCTTGTCTCCATTCTATCAGTTCTTATGCCTCTCCCCTCCCTCCCCTTCTCCCTTGCCTATCTGGATGGCTTCTCAGAAGTTGGGCTCCTGGTCTCCCTCCCTTGGATGGGCCAGCGCCCTTTACTGCTGAGGCAGCACTGCTCTTGTCAACTATGTTGCTTTTACCAAATGTCTTCGGAGGGGGAGAGGGTGCCTCCCCGGGTTTGATCTTTAGGGTCCAACTTTCTGCAGGAAAGATGTTTTACAGACATGTCAAGCTGATGTTGTAATGTGGTTGGGGAAGGAACTCCAGACCCAGAGTCTTGGCCAGCTGGGCGTACGACTGTGTGACCCTCTGTCTTGAAATGATTTCTCTCTCTGTACTGGGAGCCAAGGTGAGGTGTTTTTATTTTTTGTGAAATTATAAAATCATGTTCTTTTTTTTTTTTTTTTTTTTTTTTTTTGCGGTACACGGGCCTCTCACTGTTGTGGCCTCTCCCATTGCAGAGCACAGGCTCCGGACGCACAGGCTCAGCAGCCATGGCTCACGGGCCCAGCCACTCTGCGGCATGTGGGATCTTCCCGGACCGGGGCACGAACCCGTGTCCCCTGCATTGGCAGGCGGACTCTCAACCACTGCGCCACCAGGGAAGCCCAAATCATGTTCTTTTGATTGGATGATTCACTATGCTCATTGTTTTCCCCAAGTGCTTTTAGTGTGTCTTAAGTGTGTAAAGAAGGACACTCTTTTCTTGTTTCCTTTTTCCCTTTATTATTCCTTTATCGACTCTTAAAAATCTGGCTTCTGAAAATGCCATTGCCAAGTTGAAGAAAAAGCAAACCACACTGCAGCCCTGGTTCTGAACTGCAGAAATCAAACAGATACTGGAGGTGTCTGTGTCGAGTTACAGACCAGAGGCAGACAGTGGTGAGGGAAGAGGGTGGGTGTGACTCCTTATGGGGTCTTCATCCTTGCAGGCACCCCTGGACCTTGTCCCCAGGCCCTCTTTCTCTACACATCTCACGAGCAGCAGTGAGGATTGTCAGGTGCTTGAGTGGCCTGTGTGTGGGCTTGTAAAGGACATGGAGGGTTCGCAGAGTCCAGGGTGGAAAAGCTCAGAGCCTCCTCCACGGTCTTGAGTGAAACTAGGATGAATTGTACCTGAGGGAATTTTTCCTTAAAGGAATCAGGCCTTGTGTGAATTGATACAGGAAAAACAAAACTTTGTGTCCATATGAAAGTCACGCTGCTAAGCAGTTACAATTTAAGAGGTTTTCGATCAGAGAGATCATTTGGAGGCCAGCTTTGTGCAAGTTTTTTGAGCCTTTTCAGTGTCCTTACCCCCACTGCACAAGGGGAAGGTTTATACGTAAACAAGTTCTTTAGCGGCCTCTCAGCGTTTTTCTTAAATTAGGTCCTCTGGGTTAACAAAAGACAGGGTTCCTTAGGAGCAAAGTAACTGTTTTGTTGATGGAAATTTCTGTTTTTATGAATTACCCTGTGTTCCTTCCCCATTTTACTCCAGCCCTTTACACCTTAAATGTTCATAAAATACCTTCCTCAGCTCAAAACTGAAAAACCCTTGTATGTGTTGGTGTTCTGAGTCATCCTCTGGGAGGTTCCCTGAGCTGTCTACAGTTCAACAAAGAATGGTATGGCAGCAGATAAGTAGAGACTTTTTAAAATCATTTAAAAATCTGTCCAGTTCAGAATTGAATATAGATTTATGTTAGGGGAGAAGTTCTTCAAAGAGGTTTTCCACTTTTAATTACTGGATACTGAGAAGTAATTCACCTTTTTCTCAAGGTAATTCTGAAAAGCAGAATCTACCACTGACCAGTCAATGATCAATGGGTTGCCAGCCAATTCCTTTCTAGTTATCCAAGTCTTTGTGTGAGGGTGCCGCAGGATCTCCCCTGCTCACCTAGCTCTCAGCTCCTCCATTGAAGCAGCAAAAGTCCCTCCACGTTTCCCGGTGTGGGAAAAGGGTCATAAAGATGAGGAAACAGGGTCGGGGGGCTGGTGGGACCACATAACTCCCCATCTCTACCACCACAGTAAGAGCAAAACCGCAGAGCTTGCTTTAAACAGAGGGACTTGCTCTCATGAATTTGAGTTGTTTAGTAAGAGGTCACATGGCGGTGACCTCCGCGCATGGGTTAGGTTCCCTTTCTTGTCAGTTCCCAGAGCAGAGGCTCTTGTCCCCAGATTTCAGCTCTCAGGGGAGAAAGGCTGCTTTGGCACCAGTTTGAAGTATTATATCCAGGTGTCCTGAGGTCCCCAGGAGTCAGGTGTTGAACAGACTCTACACCTGTTCTGGCTTATGAAGAGAGGTAGAACTTATCCTTTCGCCACTCTCAATTTTTCAAGGAAAGGAGAGAGTGAAATAACTGGTTTATGAAAACAGAATCTGCCTCTTCGGCAAAATACAAAACGTCTATGAAGTGGACAAATTTGGGGTCATTTTCTGAGAGAAAGAAATAGTAACATTTGTCCAGTCCATTCCAGCTTGAGTGTCTCGAGGGGCTTCCCTGGTGGCACAGTGGTTTAGAATCCGCCTGCCAATGCAGGGGACATGGGTTCGAGCCCTGGTCTGGGAAGATTCCACATGCCGCAGAGCAACTAAGCCCATGCACCACAACTACTGAGCCCGTGCGCCACAACTACTGAGCCTGCGCGCCTAGAGCCCGTGCTCCGCAACAAGGAGAAGCCACCGCAATGAGAAGCCCATGCACCACAGAGAAAAGTAGCCCCTGCTCGCTACAACTAGAGACAACCCGCGTGCAGCAACGAAGACCCAACACAGCCAAAAAATAATAATAATAATAATTAATTTTAAAAAAAAGTGTCTCGATATACATGATCTCTGATCTTTTGTCAGTCCTGTAAAGCAGGTATTAGATCCTCATTTTACAAGTAAAGAAACAGGACAGTCCTGGGGCTGAGGACTGTCCTGTAGATGGCTGGTTCCACCAATAATGGTTCCACATTATTTTCCTGCTACAGCAAGTATGGTGCCCAGGAATGAAGCTGTGGGTTTAATTGACTCAGGTGTGCCCAGCCAGGTAGGAGAACCTAGGGGCAGGGTCAGCAAGCCGGGAACTCTTCAGGGTTTGTTTTCAAAACTGTTTTAGCCAGAAATGGAGAGAATCTAACAGATGACTTTTGTAAAAAGCCTTTCACTTTTTCCCTCCCCATCTGAAAGCTCTTTTAAGAGTGAATGTGGCTGGAACACAACCATGTCCAGCCATCTTCCCATCACCACAAGTTTCCAGATGTGTGATCAGAAGAAGGACTCTGCCCAATTCCGGTTGTGGGTCCCCTTGGAGTTTACATCACTTGTTTTTGAGTTCTCGGTTTTCTATTCCCTTCTTCCAAAACCCAGCATACACCTCAGCGTAGGAACAATTATTTTAAAACAAAATAGTTCCTCAGCTGCAGGTGATGGCCTCAATCATTTTAGTACAGTCTAGATGATATTTTGCTCATTAACCAGTGCCTTCCATTGTGAAAATTCAAAACCTCAAAGCAGATGTTTGCTTCTCATCTAATCCTTGTCCAGCAGAAGGCCAGGTCGTAGGGGGAAGTGAAGTCTGGTTGCAAGGAGAAAGACGCTCTTGTCTACCTTTTGAGAATCAATTATTAAACAGGAATCTCTTAGGCTTTTGAGTTCTCCTATCGATGGAAGAAAAACTCTGCTGAGTTACAAGTTCCACACTCATTAACTTTCATTTTTAAACTTTTTCACCCACTAAAATTGGTTGAAGGACGGGTGTGCCAGAGATGTGCTTTAAAATAGCATTTTGGTTTGAGAGCCTCTCCACGTTTGGACCTGCGTATATTGGGTCCAGAGCAGACGCATATCTGAGCCAGGAGGCTATGAAGGTCAGGCGCTTATGGAGAGAGCCCTGTCACAAATGAAAAATGGGAGGCTCTGGGAACGTGCTGTGTCGCCATCAGCCTCCCTGTATCTCCAGCAGCTTCTTCTGCAAAAGCATCTCAGAGAAGATGGACGGGCGGTCTCCCTTGTGCACCACATCCGAGTCCACCCACCGGGTGCAACGTGGCTTTAAGTGCTGGCCTTGGTGAGAAACCTTCCAGCCAGCTCGTCTATGGTCCAGGTCCTCTAGTGTCTGGTTTCCCTTTCCTGCGTAATTTAAGCATTAGAGCTATAAATCTGTTATTTCTCCCTCTCTGGAGACTGTGAAATGTCCAGCCCGCTTCAGAATAGTAGAGAGAAGAAATGTTAACTGCAAGTGGAGGCCTGGAACTGTCCAGACATGGTGGGGCTGCCCACAGGCCATTCCTCCTGTCTTCATGCAGCTGAAATCTGTCAGTCAGCCCACATCAATCCAAGAGTGAGCCACAACTGCAAGCACCCGTGCTGAGGAGGGAAACCAATTTAGAGTTTCAGACAGAAATTGGAGTGTCGGGACATCTGCTTTGTGCCAGGCATAATTGTCCTCATTATTCCTAACAACAGCTCTGTGGGGTAGGTGAGGTCAGCAGTGTCCCACCCTTCAAACTTCAGCCCCTCAGAGCACTTCCAGCCTGTTAAGGAACAAACTCGCACTTAACCTATGAAAATTGGTGACGGAAACTGACAGACCTGTGGCATTCCCAGAGAAGCCCCAGCCTCATAGGCGACTTTCCCTCCAAACTTCTCTCCATAGTTTCACCCTCAGAAAAGTTCTGGCTGTGGTCTCTTCCTCCCCCTCCCTGCTGGGGAAAGGTCAGTAACAGATGCCTAGGCTGGGGGAGAACACTGGAGAGGCAAAGGGAAGCAGGAACTCAGTGCTCAGCCTCTTCCCCGCCGCCATCAGGGACGGGAGCCAGGACGGCTGCAGCTCGTCTTCAGGGAACCAGGGTGGTGGGCCTGGGTGGTCCCAGTGAGCAGAGGAAGGGGGACACCTGTCCCGCCACGAGTGCTCCAAATGGTCTAAGCTCTTACTCTGTGTTCAGTGTGGAATGTTGACCATAACTTAATGTCCTGCAAACTTGTAAAGAATGTATGTAAATTAAAGTTTTATGTAACAAAAATTTTTACTTTTTGCAATTAAAAGTGTGTACGTTGGTTGATAAGAACTTTCCTGTACTTGATGTCATTCTTTGGTTTCCAGTTTTCCCTTCGCCCGTAACTCGGAGACTTGTAGCCACATCCTACTCGTGAGGCAGGCCTCAAGGCTCTTCTGTGGGCCTCCAGGTTACCTGTCCACATGGGCCTTGGTCCTTCTAACACCTACACCCGGCTTTGTACTCGCCTGCGTTCACAGATTCTTCTGTTATCCCTGTTCTAACCCTTTGCCCACAATGACTTCTGATCTCCTGTTCCATGAGTTCTCAAATCTCAGTCCTCCTGTTAAAACTCTCCCCTGTTCTTGCACTTTGCCCAAAATTCAAATGA